GATACGCTGGAATGATTTATGGCATATGAGTACAGATTTGTTTCCTCACTCTGTGTTTCTTGTGAAAATAGTTATTTTAAAATAAGACAAAACAGTACCCAACCCTTAGTTTAGCTTTTATGCAAAATGAAAGTTTTTGATTAGTTAAAATTAACTCTGGTCTAGGTTTTGTCATACAATGAGCAGAAGTATATATGACAATAATATATTGCCTGATTCCCTGAAATACTGTTAATTTCAGTAATTTTTCTAAGATGAGTGCTTCTTTCTCCCTCCTTCTCTCCTCCCCACTCCAAATTTAAAGTAAAACAGCACAGGTACTGTTTCATGCTTTGTGAAGGGGATTTAGAATAAGGGAGCCTGCTTCCTAGTCTGCAACTTGGTGTATGTGTTTAGCAATCCATTTGTTAATCTCCCTTTGCTGTATTATACATGCTCAGAATAAAGAAAAAAATGACTCAAATATGCTGAGATCTTTGGAGGAATTAAAAAAAAAAAAGAAATGGCTTCACTTACATTAGAGTTTAGTTTTCCACTTTTCCATTTAAGAAGAAAGTAACTGGTATTATTTGTCTCAGTGTACACTTAGCATAGTTTATATGGGCAAACTGAAGATAATGAATTAACACAAAGCATGTTTAGTGAACAGAATGTTCCAAATTGATTTTGGCTGAAATTCCTGTTGTTTGTTTACCTGCATACTTGATTGCTATTCCTTTCTTTCTCTGCATATTTAATTGCTGTCTAATTAATTGCTCTATTGATTTCCTACATAATTAATTATTCACTAATTAATCATTGATTCTCTGCATAGTTAATTAAGTTATTGCTTATTTGATTTTTACACTTATTGACTATAATTCATTGCTCTATTGCTACATCACCTAATTAGCAACTAGTTAATCAATTATTGTTTGCTTACTCCTAATCTAGTTGTTTAGACCCACAATCAGCAGTTTATCCTCTGCTATCTGACCTCCTTTTCCGGTCATTCTTCCTAAAATTTCTTTATTCCATTTTGTTTCCATCTCACCTCTGAGCAACGCACGTGCATCTTCTGCGTATTCTCCTGATGCTTTCTGCACCTTCACTAATACTCACACTGTCCTCTGCCTCCTGGTCTGTTCACTTCTGGTTTTGTTCCAGGTTTACTTCTGTTTGATGGTTCGTGTAATCAGGTGCTTTAAACAACCACAGAGAATTTTGGGGGTTCTTCTTGCTCTTCTGCCCATCTCCAAGTCCTCACTGGGAGGAGTGAGAGATAAAGTAGTGTTTCAGTACTTATTACAACTCTAGAAGAGGAAGATAGGAGACACAAAGGAGTGAGCCTGAACTTTTAGGGTGAAGAACGAGCAGGCCAGGAAGCAGGAACACTAGCAAGTAAAACCTCAAAACAGGAGTGTCAGATAACTAATGGATTTTCAATATTCAGTGTTAGTTAAACTTTTAGGTAAATGCTCATAGGTTTTGTAGTGTGAATCTTAAATGTGTATTTACATTTACAGAGAACAGTTGTTGTCCACTGGGTCAATAACAGGCTTTGTTCAGTTTTTTAAAAAAATAAAAGAATAATACTAACTAGAGCAGAACTAGTTCAAAGGAACTGGTTCAAAGGGACATTTCCATTATAAACATACTGCAATGAAAATAGAAATATGTGTGCTCAAGAGAGCAGAATGCCTGAGAAGGAACCCTACTGAGCTCCTAAAGAACACATTGAGTGTATTACACATTTTACATAGCTGCTTGTATGTGTAACGTAGAATATATTTCAAACAACAGGAACAGTATTTGAGTTGTTTTTCAGAGATGTTTTAAAAGAGATGAAGGCATAGTCTGCCTTTTAGTTTTAAGGTAGTTGTATTATTTCTGAAGATGATGATGCTTTATTATACTTTCAGATGCAACTAAGTGTAAGAGAGAGCCAGCTCTGCTGTTCTTAGCATTCAGAACACCTTAAAAATGGATTTTTCTTGGGTGGAGTGAACCATGTAATTAGTATGTCATAAAGGGAGGGGAATAATGTTGAACTGAGGTAGAGATTTTTCCTTGGAATTGTTTTGAAAACAGAACCCAAAATATATCTTCCCTGTTCTCTTCGCCCTGATTCATCCCAAAGTTCACAAAATATCAATTTATTTCTGTACCGAGCTTGCTCATCTGTGGTTTGGTTTGTACCTCAAATAGCACTGTTGTTCCAGTTTGATTTCAATGAGTGTATGTCCCTAATTTTCCTTAGGGAGGTGGAGGAGCAATTGAAACTAATCTCTGGGCCCAGACTTTATATATGTAGCTGAAGAACAAATGTGCTGTTAAAATTGGTTCCTGGTTGTTGTTAGTTTTCATTGGATGCTGAAGGGCGTAGGGCCAGTTGAAAAATCAAACCATTAAAACAAATGACGGCAGTTTTAGAAAGCAGATAAAGTCCTCTGGATTAACTCTCTGCCAAAAGTTTGTGAGCTGTTTTTTAGCTGGATTTTTCTGAATTATTAACTTTATATTAACCCTTCCCTATACCAGTGTTGTTTAACATCTTTGTTGGAGACATGGACAGTGGGATTGAGTGCACCCTCAGCAGGTTTGCCGATGACACCAAGCTGTGTGGTGTGGTGGACACGCTGGAGGGAAGGGATGCCATCCAGAGGGACCTGGACAGGCTTGAGAGGTGGACCTGTGCAAACCTCATGAAGTTCAACAAGGCCAAGTGCAAGGTCCTGCACATGGGTCGGGGCAATCCCAAGCACAAATACAGGCTGGGTGGAGAATGGATAGAGAGCAGCCCTGAGGAGAAGGACTTGGGGGTGTTGGTGGATGAGAAGCTGAACATGAGCCGGCAGTGTGCGCTTGCAGCCCAGAAAGCCAATCGTGTCCTGGGCTGCATCCAAAGCAGCATTAGCAGCAGGTCGAAGGAGGTGATTCTCCCCCTCTGCTCTAGTGAGACCCCACCTGGAGCACTGTGTTCAGATGTGGGGCCCCCAACATAACAAAGACCTGGACCTGTTGGAGAGAGTTCAGAGGAGAGCCACGAAATTAATCAGAGGGCTGGAGCACCTCCCCTATGAGGACAGGCTGAGAGAGTTGGGGTTGTTCAGCCTGGAGAAGAG